AAAGCTTCAAACAGCTAGCCTAGAATTGGATCGCTCAGCTGATTTCCACCAAACAAACAGTTCATTTGCGTACACTTCCTGATGGGCGGAGGGGAACAAACCAAATGGTGATGACAAGAGGGGTGTTTGCAATTCATTATTTTAAGCTTTTTAGCACTCTTGGTTTATTTTGTATTCATATCAATACAAATTAGTTACTAAAATTAATATTCATCTTGTTATCCGTTTCAGTTGTGCTCAAAAACAGTGTATTTATTAGACAGCTATATTCTTTGTTAGCTTTGCCCCTATTCATTAGTATCTTCCAGGATGTCGTCTGTTTACATTTCTCGCACCAAGTTGTCACATTTTACAGCGGCTGACCGTCAGTGGCAGTGCTGCATTTAGTGATAACCACGCTTAGTTTACATAGGCATCGTTACACCATAAATAGCTTTTAATGTGAGATGTAGAGCAGCAATGACCATCAACTGAAAACATGGATGGATGAATAGAGAGAGACTGTCTGAAAGATAACTTTTGTAGGTGACCTCATGTTCCTCATAATCCCAGTAAAAGCTGCATTACAAACTATACAGACTATGGAACTCTCTGCCAACTGCAGACAGACATGATCAGCTTTGGCAAAGGTCTGAAACAATGGCTGAGGTCAAGCCAAAGCTGCACACATGGTAACGCTGTATGAATGCACGCAATGATGATGTGTATTGTTTACCTTCTTAAATATTGTACTGTGTTTTGTATATTGTACTGTGTTGTGTTTAGTAAAATGTGTTTTGCCTCCTATGGACGAGTGTTGTAAATTAGCAGTTGTTTTATAACACTAAAAAACAATGTATCTGGTTTGTCCAATACTGTTATGTCCTTATCAAATAAATAAATAAATAAATATTATCTATTTGCTTTATTAGTAAAGACATTGCATAGACTTCCATTGATTTTAAATCAGGTTAATGATAATTTCATTAAAATATTCAAATTAAAATATCATTGTTCCAAACCTGTATGACTGTTGAGAAACAAAAAAAGAAGATATTTTAAAGAATGTTGGAAACCAGAGTTGACGTGAGCCATTAACTTCCATGGTATTTTTCAATGGCTAACGTCAACTGTTTGATCGCCAACATTCTTTAAAATATATTTTGTGTGTTCAGACAGGTTTGGAACGGCATTCCGTCACATGTGGGTGTAGTGAAGCACATGACAAAGGAGATTGAGAAGCAACTAATAAGTAACATTTGTCCACTGACAAAATTTGCGTTTCTAGTGCCCTCTTGTGTTTATTATGAACAACATTTTGACAATCAGATAGTGCTGGGTATGACAGTGAAAGCAATTTAAGTCAGGAGTTTTATCTTAATAATAATAACTAGAACTTTATAAAACAACACCTCAGGCAGTTTTAACTGGCTCAATGTGTAACGAATCAATGCAGAATAATTAATTTCATTTTGCATTGTCACAATCCTTCAGAAATCATTGCGATATGCTGAATGAAAATGTATCTACTGGTAAATATTATGTAAACCATATATATTTTTTTTTTTAACGGGACCAGACAAAAACTTAAGTATTTTACCTTCAACAATGTATTTAGAGCAAAAATTACAATTGAATGCATTAGCAGCCATACACTTCAGATTGAGTATTGTGGTAGCGTTTTCCTCAATCGGCAATGCTGTAAAATGTAAAGGATTATCAATTCCAAGTTACATTGATTAAATACACACTGTAAATATAATTTTATATTTATTATCATACTAAACCCCTCAGGGGAAAGAAAAAAAGATACCATACAACTTAAATGTTACATAATATTTATTTGGAACACAACTGGACAAGATCATTCAACTACACAATAGCAGAGAGGACGCTCTTTCTTCAACTCCTGAATCTTATTAGAGTAGGTCTGGACAGTCCACAGGACTTAGGTCTCCCTGATCAGCTTGGTGAGCTTCTGGATCTTTGTCTTGGTAGACATGTCCACATACTTATCACCAATGCTCACGATCATGCCCCCAAGAATAGAGGGATCAGACTGAGAGAAGGAGGAAGAGAAACACATTAAATCTCTGTATTATAATAAATGTAAGAAATCACTTTGATAGAAGCAATCTATTGCACGTGTTCTTTTGCAACCCTAATACCCTCTTAAAAAACCTAGTCATCTTAATTTTAAAATTAACACTTCAAAATTAAATGAAGCCCTCCTACCTTGGTCTCAAGCTTAATAGTTTCTCCTTTTGTGAGGAAACCATTCAGTGCCACCTTCAGCTCTGCAAGATTAGCTTCATCCAGAGGCTGTTCAGACATTCAGCATAAAAACACACAATAAAGACACTAAAATAAAGATTTTATTCTAAATTAATCAAACACTTATTATACAGAGCAGAACAACATTTAAAACAAAACATTTATTTTAGAAATAATATTAAGGTTAAAAAAAATAAATAAAAATCAATATGTACAAGGCAAGCAAATAACCATACATTTATGCACGGCTTACCTGAGCAGTGGTGACTGAGCATGTGACCTCTCCTCTGTGGGCACTCATCATTTTGCCAAAGGCTGTGATGACATCAGGGGTCAAGGTCAAGCGGACATTTTCTGCCAGGACATCTGTAAATCAAAACAATTGATAAATTGAAAATATATCATACACTTTGTTCTTGATGTTAAAAATGCAGCAAATTAATTTCAATGTGCATGTCTTTTTTTACTATATAGGACACTCCCTTCAAGACTTCTACAATGTGATTAAAATAACAGTACTTTTCAGTGAATCAATGAAATGGCTGATCAGAAAACTCACTGATGAAGTTAATGGTGATGGGGGAGAGTTTTGCCTTGATCAAGAAATCAACGAAAGTCTTCTGTTTGATACTGCGCTTGACATGGGGGTTCATCACAATACCTGCAAGCTTAGGATCCTTAATCAGGCTCTAGGAAGAGGGAAAACAACAAATCCAGAACTTACTGAAGCACTGTGTAAAGCAAGCAGAATCAAAGAGAGCAATTCAAAGGGAAACTCACAGCCACACGTCCAAGTTCCTGTTCAACCTTATCAAGGTTCTTCTGCTTGCTGGCAGCAGAGAACAGGGCAGTAGCATAGCGTCCCTCGACCCCATAGACCTGGATAGGAGGCTGAAGAAACACTACAGTAAGAATTGTTATCGAATTATATATAAACCTGTGACTACTATGGCACTATATCATGGTTTATAAAGTAAATGCATTAGTATTAAAACCATGGAGTTAATTTAACAGCTAAATAACAAAATGTAATACTACTACAATACCACTATTTCACCAAAACACCATAATTACAACCAATATCAGAACTGAAAATTCTACACAACATGTATACTTTTAGAATACTAATTTTTTTTCTTTATGACATTGATAGCTAATACGTGGTTTAGGTATTTTAGGTGAAACTGGTTACCACCATGGTAACTTTGTATGGGAAAAAAAATTATGCATTTGCCCTATGAAATAAATAACTTTTTTTTTTACCTTGATAAGTTTTGCTGCTGGTCGGATCACAGAGGTGCTAAACTGACGCACCTGTCGAGAAACAGAATAACTTGTACGCAGATTTGACAAATATAACAGACTTTCAATGACACGACCTGGTCATAAACATTAACATATGCTCTTCATTTCAGTTTTGTTTTGTTTTGATTATTGCGTCTCAAAACCTAACTTAACTTCTAACTTAACGTACAGGTTTTAAAACGTATGTCCAGTCACATTTTAGCATTGTATTCTTCAGCATGTGAGCAAACTCATCAGGTTCTAGTTTGCACAACTCTTACATGAATTCATTAAATTAATATACAACTCGAAAGGTCAATGGACATTATTGCCTTTATAATGGATTATTAAGATCTCACAAGAGCACAGGGTTTGAATCACTGTCCATGATGTTGCGGATTAGACACTGCCTGTCAAGGCCTCGTTCAGTTATCGGACAAATCATCTTCGCTTAAGCCAGTCAAATATTTAGTTTAAAAAAACACATAGATTTAACAACACGAAGCCAAACAGCTCGAGGTTTTCCACACAACAGACAAGGTTTTTTTAGAATGTCATACCTGCAGCCCCAGTCCAAGCGCTGCCATTTTCTCCTGCGACTGTGTAGGTCAAAAGCACTGCGCATGCGTGCAAGTCCGGGAAGAAATACGCAAGAGATGCGCTTATGCATTGTGGGAAATGTAGTTAGTCATGTCAGTGGAAAATTACTCGGAAAGATCACGGGATTCGGGATAGTTAACAAATAAATCGCATTGGAAACAGCTTTAAATATTAATATGCTTATACTTACTATACTTATTTGGTATACTTACTATACTTATTTGGTGTAAAAATCTCCAAATTTTATCTTATAATTATCTTAGTAAAAATTTAGGTTACCAAACCTGATAACCATGATATAAGCATATGTTTTCAATTTAATTTAGTTTATTTTGTGTGAAGATATGCCAGTGCAGCTCCTCATGAGCATAACAGCTGCACATGACATCATATCAAAATTGTTATGTGTTTTATTCAGCTTCAAATTGACGGGGGACACTTCAGGTGCACCTGTGGGGGTTATAGGGACCCTGTGGATATGTTAGACTTCTATTTACTTATAGTTAATTCTCTAATTAATTTACTTTAGCTTAATAGGCTGTAAAATCGATTGCAGTTGGAGGAAATGAAAACATGCGATATGAAAGATAAAAAAACATAAAAAAAGATAAAAGAAAAACTTTGTAAAGAACCTTCTGAATGAGCATTGTAAACCCACTGCTCATGAATCTTATTATGGTGCATTTCCAGATTGTTCTTTTGACTGCACAACCTAAGAGGCTTAGAATGAGCCCTTCACTCGTGTCTCGTTTAGTCCGTTTGATCGTGGCTAAAGAAGGGGGATTTCTGTCAGTTTCCAGTATTAAACAAGGGGCTACAGGAGGTGAAAAGTCATGAAACAATAGCTCTGTAACGTACAGTAGACCTCCTTGGCCACGTCACGACGTTTACTCACACTCACTAAATGTGAAAGGGTGTGTTGCCTACAGCGGAAGAAAAAAAAGGGAAGGAGTGGATGGACGTTTATAAAAGGCGCGTTTAAGGCACCATTCATTCCAAAGGACTGACATCTACCTTTACTGAACTTTTAAAGATCTTTTTTTCGCGAGCGAACATATCCCGCACCCTTCTGCGTTGAAGCTGTCAGACGCTGATGGAGACGATCACCTCGCTTGGAGCAGTTCTATCATTTTAGGAACACGCGTTAATCAATTCTTTATTCAAGACTATAGCCTATCTTAAGAATGGTAAGTTGTATCTCAAGTGTAACCATTGTATTAGACAGGTAACGTATTGAGAAGTGAACTCAATCAATGATCCGAACAGAATAGCTCTTGCAAAGTGGCTGTGTTTGTTGCGGCGTATAACGTTAAATGCTTCATATTCGAATAATTCGGTCATTTAGTTGACAATATATGCACGATAAATAATAAATCTTATAAGGTACTGTTTTTCAAACGACATGACGCAGCATACGTCTTGAATTAAAAGGATAGTTCGTTTAAAATTGAGCAAGGAGGCGTGACAGCTTCTACAGATTCTATGAAAATGAATGTGACTGGGCTTTTAGGAAGAATGTCATACAGGTTTGGGGGTTTATTAAAAACAAATGTTTGAAATGTCTGATTGTAATCTCAAGCAAAGAACCAGCAATCCAACTGGTCTGACTGTTGTTTACTATAAAAAAAAATATCGTTCTGTCGTAGTGTCGTCCGACGAACGCTGCTTTCCAGAAATTTCGCTGGAGTCGCAGCGTTTGAGTTGTAGTTGGTGTTTAAGCAACATAGTAAAATTCCACGCATAATGAGTCATTTTTTTCCAAACAAGACATGCCTATAAGCAGTTGTAGGTCTTTTTAATTGCTTTAAATGTATTTTAATTTAGTCACCCATTCTTGAATATATGGTGTAGGTCTCTTCTGTGTTGCTGTCAATTATTATTATTTTTTGATTAAATAGCTTTATCAATAAGTCGTTGCCATTAGTTACTAGAGCACAACTGAAGGTGGTGTGAGGTGAATTGTCTAGCAGTGGAAATTTTCCTCCTTGCCCACCCCTCCTCTACATGTTGTGTCTTTCTTTTTTTCTTGGCCAACCAGAGGATCCATAAAGAGATTATCCCAGTCTGTTTGGTTGTTGTTAGATTTAATGGGATTGTTCATCCAAAAATGAAAAAGATGTCATCATTCACAAATTTATGACTCTTTTTCTGATGTGGAACTCAAAAGAGATGTTAGGCACAATGACAGACTGGCAGTCAAGGTCACCATTTACTTTCATTGCTGAGACTTGTCATTCTGCCTACCATCTGTTTTGTGCCCAGGTGGTGGCAGAGGAGAGGGATACCTGGATTGGACCCCATGATTTCATTTCAGTGTCTGCCCCCCCTGAGAAATATGACCTGATAACATCACGTTGCAGATGCACAGATGACTTATGTTGATGATAACATCATCAACATAAGTCGTGTCATACAGTGACTGAATCATGGTGTCATGGTGCTTTTTAAGAAAGATAAGGCCATGATGAAGATACTGTTGTAATCATTTCTTATCGTGTATAATTTTAGACAGGGTAGGGCATAATTTACCTGGTTTATAAAAAGCCTGAGCTATGAAAAGTAAAGTAAGAAGTAGTGGTGGACTTTTTTTTTTTTTTTAATCATGTGGCTTTAACCAAGATTGGAAAAAAATGAAGACTGCTATTGAGGGGCAACAGTCAGAGCAATTTTGTTTGGTAAGGGTGGGTAAGTGTTTGCATTGTTCTGAATGATATGTGATATACTCACTGAATAAGTTACAGGAGAAATTTCTTCTAAATGCCAACAGGCGGCAGTAGTCATTCTTATTGACGTTCTTTAAAGCTGCAGTCCGTAGCCGAAAATACATAACCAGCCAGTGTTCAAATCTGCTTGCCTTAGCTCGATTCGAAGCAGTAAGCTTGTAATGATGTTTTTAATCACAGTGGTAGGCCTACTGGTGGATTTCCGCAGGAGATTCAAGCATGTCTTTGCGTCATTACATCACATCTGTACACATAAATGAGTCTCGGCTTGTAGGCCGTATTTTAGCCTTATTTCACAGCACTTGATGTAATTAAACTTATCAATTTGATGGCGAATCCAGAAAGGTTCAAACGACAATCACCAGTGACCTGTTGTAAAATGCAAAAGACTTCGTTCGAAGAACGTCTGCAATTGTAGATTTCGAACAGAGATGGCGACAAAGAGGAAAAACTGCGGACTGCAGCTTTATTTTTTTGCTTATTGGAATAAGCATCTGATAGTGTGCATTACTATTGATTACTTTTAAATATTTCTTTTTAATTTCTGCTTTAAACGTTAACATTAATACAACCAAACTGTTTGGATAGTTGTCTGAGCTGTTGCAGTCTGACCATAAGCTTGCTGTTAGATGGGATGTTAAGCTGACTGCAGTGTAGTGTAGTGTTATGCAATAATCTGCCCTATGGTTCACAAGGAATTAGTGCCTGAAGTCCAAGCTGGTATAGTTCAATTTCAGGTGGCAGAATTGGGAAGTGATGCGGCACATTTGCGTATATCTAAGTTATGCAACCATTAAAGTCAGGCGATGATGGCTGGCCTGGGAGACAGAGAGGTAACAACTTGCAGTCAAAAAAATGTTGAAATGTTGAAAGTGAGATCTAAATAAATTTGGGGAAAATAATTGTTTTCATGGAGCTTGAAAGGAGAAATAGATCATAATGATGATGGTTTGCTTTTTTTTAAAATCATTTTGTTATCATTGTTGATCACCCTATTTTAAAATGGAGACTTTATTAAACGGTGTCTTTGTTTTCGTTTTTTTATTGATGTTATTTATTTATTTTTGGGACACGCTGATATTAAAATCCTGGCTGTGATATGCTGATAATTATTTTCATGTTATGGCTGACAGCTGATAAACTAGCTAATACCAAAATTCAATACTATTTTGTTTAAATAAATAAGAAAAACACTATGAATTGATTGCAATAATTTTAAAGGCAACTCTACACACTACTGGATTGCATTTAACAGTGTTATTCATTTTTTTAAATATCAAGTGAAGCTAGGTTAATCTACCGTAAATGTAAAAATGGTGAAATGAGCATGTGCAATTATGTATCCAATACTGATAAATTATTAATGGCCTGGTTTCACAGACAGGACTTGGATTAAGCAAAAAATAGGCCTTAGTTAAATTAGGACATTTAAATAGCTTTTTTGAGGCAAAATAATGGTACTAAGACAGTTCAAACATCAATTTTAGTCTGAGACTAGGCTTATGCCTTGTCCGTGAAACTGGGCATAAATGTATGTGAATTGTCTATGTATATTTGTTCAACAAAATGACGACAACTGTAACAATGTTATCAAAAAAAATCTTTAGCAAAATGTAATTTTCCCGTTTTGTGGTAAAGTCAGTGCATAGTAATAATGAATGATATACACACTTGATCTAATGCATGCCATGTCTCTTTCTTTCTGTGTTTGCTGTCTTGCAGGAATGTAAACTCTTGCCATTTCTAGACCAGAAGCCAGAGACATCCTCCCCAAAATAACTCTTGTGCTTCATGAGAGCACCGTTGGATTACCAATCAAATATAAACCAAACACAAACCAGATAGAAATTCATCTGACAGATGGTGGATGCTTCCGTTTCCTTCTAGAAAGACAGCAAACCAAATGAATAAGAGATTTTATGTGCATTTGCTTGCATCTTTACTCAAATAGACCAATTTTTTTCAGACAATTGCATTTTGAACTGTGATAGTAACTTAAACATGATACAAACAGTACCCATGATGGAGGCGGCGGATATTGCAGTTGTTGCACTTTATTTTGTACTTTTGCTTGTAATTGGTCTGCTTGCCATGTGGAAGTCCAACCATAGCACTGTCAGTGGCTACTTTCTGGCAGGTCGAAATATGAACTGGGTGGTGATAGGTGCCTCACTCTTTGTCAGCAACATCGGCAGCGAACATTTCATTGGTCTCGCTGGTTCTGGTGCAGCAAGTGGTTTTGCAGTGGGCGCCTGGGAGTTCAATGCCCTCCTTCTTCTTCAGCTGCTCGGCTGGGTGTTCATCCCAGTCTACATCCACTGTGGAGTTTACACCATGCCAGAGTACCTCTCCAAGCGGTACGGAGGCAAGCGGCTAAAGATTTACTTTGCTGCCCTCTCACTTCTGCTGTATGTCTTTACTAAACTCTCAGTGGACTTGTATGCAGGAGCTCTTTTCATTCAGGAGTCTCTTGGCTGGAATCTATACCTGTCAATAATCTTGCTTATCACTATGACTGCCTTCCTGACAGTGACCGGTGGACTGGTTGCTGTGATCTACACGGACACTCTACAGGCTGTGCTCATGATTGGCGGTGCTTTGACCCTTACCATAATCAGTCTGGTCAAGGTAGGCGGTTTGGAAGGGGTGCGAGAAAAATACATGGAAGCAGTCCCCAACGTCACAGCCATCCTGGCTAACAGCAACTTCAGCTTCCAGTACACAAACTCCTGCCGAATCCATCCCAAGCCAGATTCTCTTAAGCTCCTACGAGGACCGCTTGACGAGGACATCCCTTGGCCAGGCTTCCTGTTGGGTCAGACACCCGCATCCATTTGGTACTGGTGTGCAGACCAAGTCATCGTCCAGAGAGTATTAGCTGCCAAGAATATTGTTCATGCTAAAGGCTCCACACTTATGGCAGGAATTCTTAAGGTCCTTCCCATGTTTATCATCGTTATTCCAGGAATGATCTCACGAATTTTGTTCCCAGATGAGCTGGCATGCATCGGACCAGAGCACTGCATGGCTGTTTGTGGCAGTCAAGCTGGCTGTTCCAACATCGCCTACCCTCGGTTGGTCATGAGCGTGATGCCGGTGGGTCTCCGAGGGTTGATGATGGCTGTGATGATCGCTGCCCTCATGAGCGACCTGGACTCGATTTTTAACAGCGCTAGCACCATCTTCACATTGGACATTTATAAAATGCTGCGTATGCGTGCATCCTCACGTGAGCTGGTGGTGGTCGGCAGGTTGTTTGTGATCTTCATGGTGACTATCAGCATTGCTTGGGTGCCTGTTATTATTGAGATGCAAGGTGGCCAGATGTACCTGTACATCCAGGAAATTGCAGGATACCTCACACCTCCCATTGCTGCCCTCTTTTTACTTGGAGTCTTCTGGAAACGTTGCAATGAGACCGGCGCATTTTGGGGCGGTATGACTGGGTTTGTGCTAGGCACCACCCGCCTCCTACTTGGCTTTGTATATCGTGAGCCAAGATGTGACCAGCCTGATGAGCGTCCAGCTTTCATTACTCGTGTCCACTACATGTACATTGCTGCCGGGCTGTTTTGGATTTCCGGGCTGGTGGCTGTGGCTGTCAGCCTGTGCACGTCACCTCCAGAAGTGGAGAAGATCAAGCGTACCACAATCTGGGGCTTGAGAGAACTTAAACGGCTTCCTGTGACTGAACGAGAAGAGATGTACAAACTCACTAATGGCAATGGTGTTCTCAAGAAGGATGTGCCTGAGGATGTCCAGAAGGAGAGATGTCTTGATGGGGCTGACATGAAACTCCTTATGCCCTCGCCTTGTGACCAAGATCCCCCGACCCCCAGCACAGAGGCATCCACACCAATGGAGCTGTACGGCAATGGTCATGTAAAGCTTGTGAAACGGAAGGATGAAGCCAAGCGTGATGAAGAGAGCTGCCCTCAAGTATTTGACTGGATTTGTCAAAAGGAGAAAATGTCTGTTGTCCAACCCAAAGTCATTGAAGAAGATGAAGGAGCTGTTCGTGAAATGCTTTACGAACCCCCTAAGATCAAGCTGTTACTTAACTTGGGCCTTGTATTGGTTTGTTCACTGGGTGTTTTCATGTTTGTGTACTTCTCCTTGTAATGTGCGGATCTTATCTTGAGACCTGTGTGAAAGACAGCACATTTATATGATTTGTTTTTATAAGCCATTTAGGGTCTGTAATATTTACAGTGTGGTTTCTTTTTTTTTTTTTTCTTTTTTTTTTTTACAACTTCCTTTTAGGGACTCAAACCATTTTGAATAATTCTGATAGAAGTTATTTATTGTTTCTCCTTGGCTCTGTGTCACATACCTTTGAAATATTTAAACTCTTCCTTGTGGTATGTTGATTTTCAAATGCATTATTGAAACAGTAGCTTTTGTATAGTTTATGGTTGGTCAAGTTAAGCAACTGTAGGATTTACTGTTTTTCTTCTTGGTGAATTTTGCCTTAATTTTGCCTTAAGTTTTATGTGAAATGAAAATTGTGAAAATTATTAATTTTAAGAAGAAAAAAAAGTGGGAAATTTATCACAAGATTCAAAGATTTTATTTAAAAAAAATAGTTTGCATAAAAAGATGCCATATCAAGGTGTTGTGCCATCTGCTTAAACCTGTTACCCTACTGTACATTCCCAAGTACGAGTAAGACTATTTAGGTCCCTTGATGTAAATTGTTACTGTAACTCTGTATGTAATTTGGTGTATTTCTGAATACTTTCATTTCTCTGTATTTAGAGCTACGTTAAAAAACACCAAAATGCCTTTTGTGCAGAGGATAAGCTGTAAAAACCCTGCTTTATCCAAGATGTTATCACTCTAAAACAAATCAGCTGTAAAATGCACAGTCTGCTCATGTGGATATTACTGAATGACCCTCAGAACCTCTACTGGAAAGACTCGGAGAACACTGTCATTAACGTTGTAATCTGATATTATGATATCCTAAAACAGGTTATTTCGACTGGGATGTCCAATTTTGATTGCTGCGCAAAAATAATATCTTGTTCTTCTAGAAGAAGAATTTGAGTATGGCTGCAGTAACAGGCGTTATTACCTGTTGTTGTTGTTACGCTGTTAAATGCTCTATTTGTTCAGACAAATGGGAACTGATGGATGGCCTTAGTAAAAATGAAATGGGCGTGTGGGATTTTGTAAACAGATAACTTATGTAACTTATTTTTTTTTAAGCTTACAATGTTGTATTTATACGTTGACATTCAAGTCTACTTTTAATGAAAATTTATCCCAAAGGTGCAACAAAATTATTTTGACTTCATTCAGAAGAGTTATGCCCAAAGAGATATTAAAAAGAGGTGCAACATTTACCTTGTGTCCCCTTTTTTATCGGCCTTTCAAAAATCCTTTTCATACCCAAACAAAATAAACTCGGGTTAAATTGGCTGATTATTGTTTTACATTTTAAAATAATTTTTTTTAAATAAATTCATTTTTATACAGATACTATCTTTGTATTGGAAAAGAGGTACATAAATTAAAAGAAAGTTCAATAGAGACCTTGTTCTTTTATGCTTTTTTCCCCAAATGTCTGATTTGGTTTTGGGTTCTTATGGTTCTTGTCAATCTTACTGAAGTGATTACCATTTCTTTGCAGGTATCAGTTCATCTTATTCTGGTTCATTGCATTTACACTAACTCGATCACAAAGTCAAGTTGATCCAAAACTGATATGATCTCTGGCAATACCATACCAACTAACAACTATACTTGCTTGGGAGGGGGGTGGAAGTGATTGTTGGTTTTGGATACACCACAGATTTTCAAACTAACACCCAGAGCTTTTAAATATTTAAAACATGTATTTCAAAAATTTAAAATTTAAAAAACATGTATTTCATAGTAAAATTATGAGGTTCTATCTTATTTTCTTTCTTTTTTTTAAGTACTTTTATGTTGTTTGATAATGTGAATTTTAATAGACTGTTACGTCACTTCATTTAACGTCATCCCAAGGTACTTGTTTAACCTTTTATGACAACAAAAGGGTTTTGTGATCTATTTGATTTAATGGATTATGTTTTACATTTGTATTGAATGGTGTATAGATTCCAGATATTTCTTTTGTGCTTTAGTTTAGAGTGTGTACATCTCTTAACATTCCTTATGTTGCATAAAACGGGCTTCATCGATTCATTGTGGAGTTTATTGCTCTCTGATCTGTTCAGACATACACAAATGATTTGTACATTTGCTACTTTTATTATCAAAAGTTGTAGATGAATAAAAATATTCATTTGAGAACGACAAACTGCGTGAGCTTGGTTATTTGACTTTAAATCTTGTAATATATTGTATAATTTTCTTGCATGTTTTTATTCTTTAATTATTGTCATTTTCCAAACAATTGACTTTCAAAATCCAAACAACACTGCTTTTCAAAATGACAGTTTTACAGTTTTGTTTGTGGCGGCATAATGTCTTGTAGAGATATCCTGTTTTATGACATTCATTACTTTGCCATTAACATAATGCATAAAGTTATTTAGTTCTGCTGTTTATCCTTAAATTCATATTCTGCATAAAAAATGCTAATCTACAATATGAAGACAATTAGGCTAACTCACATTAAACACATATGCAATTAGAATCATCCATTGCACTAATGAATTCTCAGGTATTTGAGGCTTATGCACATGGTATGTTTCCACACACATATTTTTGCATCGCATAAAAAAAACACTGGATGAAATTAATAAAAAAGCGTAAATAAAGCATAAATTAATAATAAAAAAAACTCGCTCAGTTCAGTCATAATTGTTTTATCCGATAAAGCCATGCACATAAACTACGATGGAAACACATTTACTGAATAAATACCTCAATACACATCAAAAAAGTAATGTGTGCGATTGTTCTGAAATAATTGGTGGTGGGCTCAGTCGGGGGCTGAGTGAGTAGCCTAATAGGTGAAAAACAGTATGCCTATTTTGACAAAAGAGGTATCAGAAAGCACAGTAGGCTACTCATAAAAGAGAAGGGAAAAGTACCCGGATGACCTACTTCATCAGTGAGATTCTGAAGTGTGCGTACGATGGACATTTGACTATCACATAAGGCCATGGAAGTGACCCAACTGGCGCAAGTAGATAACATGATAAGAACAACAATGCAAATGTACTTTGTAGTACATTCAAATTACATTCATACTACACATTCACATAGAACATAGTTTTTTTAGTGGTTGTGAAATAATTACTTATTCAGAATAAGTAACCTAAGTTACCTGCTCAAGACAAGATAGTACACAATTTCGGAGATTTTCGGTGACACTGGGCGGAGCTTACATGAATATTCACAAGTTTTGTGTTAGCACCACTGGGTAGGCTATAGACCTGAATGCATGCATGTATGTATGAAAACATGTTAAATATATTTAATGATTATCTTAACAGGTCATGATGAATTATGCATGTGATAACCAATATAATGTCTAGCTATTCTTTTCCAAAGATGACTTGTGCCAGTTGTACACCAGACAAAACAGACACTATATGTAAGACTGGAGAACTGGAGTTGATGGAATCAATCTGACCAATGCCCTCTGAAGACAAAAGGACCTTGCTTGCAAATTAACTTGTGAACAACTTTCTCACACACACACACACACACACACACACACACACACACACACACACACACACACACACACACACACACACACACACACACACACACACACACTTGCAGAGATCACTCACACAAGAATATATATGGTTTTAATGTGAATGTGATAATCTTTAAGGATTGTTTAGTATCATTTTAAAGGTCTCAGTGTGACTGTAATAATGTCTCATTTCCAAAGAAGTAAAAGAAAAGGTAATAAGATTTTTAAGAAGTTTAGTAATAACTGGCACACAAAGGAATGTGGTCTGGCATTCCAAAGGTGTAAATGCTAATTCCCATGTCCCTTGCAAATGGTCTGCCCCCAGGCTTCGGTGATGAACAGTAACTTTCCACTGTAAACTGACGTTTTACATATCAAATGAGGTCTTGAATAGGGACCTTCATGGCTGTTGTCTGTATTCAGATGAGCCCGTGAGGGAGTGTATCGCGACTTACCTCACGTAGCCACATAGGTCAGTTAAAAGATGTTCTTCTTTGTTCTAGATCTTGGATGGTTTGCATTGATTATCTTTAAATTGATTGTGGAATTGTAATAATACATTTACCTGACATAATAAATTGTTATAATTGATTATTCCATCAGACTTTGACTTTATTTTCATTAGAGTTAAAAGGAATAGTCGAACATTAACGTGTATTTAATGATTCACAGATATCATTGTTAAACCTTTTTTCATTTTATGGAGTCAGATGAAACGAGTTAATACATACGATAAAATGTATTAGATTTAATTAAAAATCACTTTGCCATGGGAAAGACAGAACCTGCATGAAACCTTCACCTCAAATCGAATTCTGCCATTGGATCGATTTTGTAGGCATTACATATACATGGATTTCTCGGCAACATCATCACTGCTTGCGCTCGCAACCGGGAGGCAGAAAAATCAGCCGGAAACTGAAGCTTCCCTTGGGGGCCGCCATTGTAGCAAACCCTGAGGCAGACCCTGTTTGCAAACAACAAATACTGTCTAACAATTTAATAATACGGGTTTGTTGTAAATGTCATTTTGTTATATTTTTGGGATTAAATATGTCAGTGGTAAAGGCTGGTATCACTGTATTGCATGAGCAGACCAAACTTTCATTTTCTGGGATCCCATGACTCTGTGTCTTCTGACCTGGTTCAAAGAAAGTAGCTTACACATAATATGAAGCATTACCTATATGAAGATCGTGGAATTACATTTACAAAAGATTTGTTCGTGGTAGGCGGCCTAATATTTAAAGTAATTTTCTCTTACGCATAGTTTGCAATGTTGAGCATTATAACCATTCACACACATTTTTGTTGAGTTTAGGAATGCAATGTCCAATCAGAGGCGTTTATGATTTGTTATTCCCTGACTCATTCGATGTAAATGTTTGCTTTATTCACAAATGTTTAACACAATATTACAATTTTGTGCATAAGTTAAATTCGCAACTTTGGCTGGAAACAGCTTATGACAAATGTTATTACACGTTAGATGTAAAGTCACGCAGTAGGCTATTTGACATTTGCAGAATAGACATTAGTCTGCTTCAATTTGTTATACATGCCCTTGAAAGAGTATATCATATTTCAGATTAGGCATTGCTTTAAAGTAACAAGTGCATTGTAAAGGATAAAGTGTACTTTCCCTTGAACCCTCACTGCATCTTCACTTGTGCTTGTTTTCCTTCCTTCCTTCTCTCTCTCTCTCTTTCTTTCTCTCTCTCTATCTCTCTCACTCTCTCTCCACTGCATGACAGTTTGTATCTGCACAGTAGTTTTCCACTTAAATTTATGTTAGGAATGGAGGTGACTGAGTGACTTGAGGTTGAAAATGCGCCGGTGAATAATTGTTTTGTCCGCCTCGCACCTATGTTTTGGTAAAGCCCTGCAGGCCGTTATTAGGGTGTGTCACTATGTTGCTTTCTGAGAAAAAACAAAAAAACAAGGACGATGTTCCAAGAATCCACGAGAAACTCTGTTTTGACTATGTCCTAAATACTTGGTAGATTTGGCCATAGTTTGGTAGATTCTGTGGCTTTCCATTTGACCTGGATGAGGGCATACATGTCTAATCAAAGGGATAACCTTGAGTTCAGCATTGATAAAGAGGTTTAAGTTTGGACTTACTATATTTATCAATGAGCAATATTTTAAAAAGTGTCCTCGGAAACTTTCTTAGTATTATTGCAGACGTATTGAGTCTTTATGATCAATGAAAGCAAATGCAGAAGGCGGTGTTAGGTGTAACATGCAAAGGGAAGCCTTGACCGCATCAATTGACCTTTTCAGTGCTTAACAGCATCTCATCAGATACAGAGCAGTTCTGTAAAGACACCTATTTATTTGCTCCTCTATATAGTTTATGTTACTGTACCCTTTATTCTCGCTCTGTATTTCCTCCTGAGGTTGGTGCTGCTACTACTAGTGGAAAAGTACTGGCAAAACAACCGTGGGCTGCTCTTTGTTCATTGTTGCAGCCGGAAAGCAACAGTGAAGAACAACAAATGTATTTCTACATCTATTAGGTATGCGCATTTAAACTGACCACTTGACCATTATCTTCAGGACTAAAGGTCATAACTGTGGGAAGGGCACTCATAGCAGAATACGTCACTCCAGTTGATGAGAATGCACCTTGCATGCTAATAAGGTGCTACACTTGCTGATTGTTAGTGATTGTGCAATTCAAAAACTAACATAACATGTTCTTTTACAAAACATTGTCTTTTGTTCTTTTACAAAACATCTAAATAAAAGAAATTGTGAGGAAATGCACAGTTTAAGACAATGCGGCAATTACCTCCAACTTAAATATTTGAGTTAATAGGCAATTTAGCCTACTAAATTATAATGATAAAAAAAATCTTCATTTACAGATTTTGCTTCAACTGGCTTTTGGGCACATAATATTAATGTGGTATTATTTTTATTTGCAAATCAAAAATCAGACAACCATGAGACCACAGGATGATTCACCATAAAATGCAAATGACTCATGATTTTGACTCTGAAATATGAAATGACTCTTACATAATGGCACATGCGTCACTCTTTTTTTTTCAGTACATGAGAACATTTTCAAGCAATTTATATTTGTATCATCCACAATTTTGTTTCATTTATTTAAAACTCAAGGTTATCATTTCTGTGTGTTTAGCTCAGGAGCCTTTAACTCTAAACCTTTTATTACGTTTGCAAACTTATAGTTAAAAGAAAAATAGGCTAAAAATAAAATTTTTAATAATTAACTAGTAATATTATTTAAAAAAAAGAAAAGAAATATTAAAACAAAATTATATTTTAAAAAACTTGGTTATTTGAAAAGTATAATGATAAAAAGCATTAAAAACAATAAAATAAAAAGCAGAGCAGATTGGAGGCTGTCCATTTATATATTAAATTACTTTACACAGCAATTATACAGTAATATAATTTATTTCTCCCAACTAGTTATGATTATGGGGATGAAAACCATATGTTGTGTACTGTATATTGTGCAAATCCACTGTGTAAATACTGTCATACTATGAAAATACCATCTTTTTTATGTTGTGGGACTTTCAGTGCTGCTTGGATGTTTGTTAAATGTAAAATGGCAATTAACCTCAAAATTGACTTGAAAGGTATATACTTCATTCTTGTGGTGGTATAATAAACTAGTTAACTAAATCAAAGACTAACATTTGAATTCCTTGAAAACAACATCCCTGTCAAGGCTTAGGTAATGTGGTAATTTGGTAATGTAAACCTGTCACAAGCAATCACACACCAGACAGAGACACACGAAAAACAGCATTGTTCAGCATCTCATCTGATGAATCTGTTCTTTTCCACCACAACCCACAGCAAATCAAACACGGATGCCACACATTCCCAAAATTCTATATAGATGACCAGTTAGGCGGTTCCGCTGTGCAGGAGATTCTTCCACTAATGAAATCATTCCACAAAAAGGCATCTGAATGGAAAAGGAAAATATTTATTGATGCTGGGTTAATCAAGAGGCTTTAACACAATGTTCAGGCCTGTGGTAACGGACCTCAGAGGAACCACAATGATGCTAAAGTCGTCAAAGGACCAAATTGGTTTAGCACAAGCTGTAGAACTACTGATCAAGATTTGTAAAGATGGATAATTGTACATTTTTATATCTGATATTGCTGCCTGCATAGCTGTTGATGTGAAGTCCATGACTAGTTATTTGCTTAAATTGTCCTTCATCTCATGCTCCTGTTTTTTCCACACCCCTCCGGTCACTTTATTGTGTTACATGTTAAATGGCCCTTTTGATTCTAATCATTAGCCACACTTTTTAAGCTCCGTCCTCCTTATTGTAATTCATAATAAAGCTGCATGCACCTACACTGGTTCTCTTTATTAAGTAAGTAGTGAATCTTGATACAGCAAAAATATTAGCTATAAGCTAATTAATTAGTTTAGCACTGCCTAATATGTTTTCCCATTCAGGCACTAATATGCACACTTTCAGTATCAAAATGGACCTTTTGAAAGGGTGCCGCCTCAGTGACACCTTTTTTTTCTAAGAATGTATAATGGTAAAAGTCAGAAGGGTGGAGGGTAAAAAGTTTGACACCCAGTGACAGGAACTGGGTGAGGCATGATGACGCCTGAAGGGACAGACTTTATGGAAAAGTACATGCATTTCATTACATGTAATCTTCCAGCCCGTTCTCATCCTTTAACGTCATATAGAACAATCTTCTTAGAAGTTTATGTCTGTTTAAATAATAAATTCCAAGTAAAATCTAACTCACTTTAGAATTCAGAAACAACAAAATCATTAGCATCAAACAGGAATATATATATATAGCTTATAAAGCAATAAATGATTTTAAAGTACAAATTACAGTATTGGAAAAATGAGAGTTTTAGTGTGTGATACAATAGGCCTATGTTGTTCAAAATTGAACAGGACTGAATGTATAAAACAGGTGAATGCCTGAGATAAAACAAGCAGGAGCTCTATTAATATCAGTGCACATTAACAGTGCACATTTTTGTGAGTTACTTGCAGAAGAATCCCCCCACTCACAATGAAGAAAGAAAGAAAGAAAGAAAGAAAGAAAGAAAGAAAGAAAGAATCTTATGAAGAATCTTATCCTATTTTCTCTTTGTTTAGACTTGTCGCTTTCTATTTTCGCTGGTGATTTATCAGAGCCAGGTGAATGTTGCTCATTTATTGTGACTACAAGCTTTCAACTTCAAGCTATGACATCTTCCACAGCATAGCCACAGCTTTTCTTAAATACAAAAATAGCCTATAAGCACGCATGCATGGACAAATGACAGAGAGTAGCCTATGCAATTTCCCACAAAGCCCCATTGTGTTACTCTCAAAATATCTGATAACACACTCTGAATTCATAGAAATGAAGTTAGATGAATAACTATATCATTATTTGCTCTTGCTGTCTGCACTGACAATGTTCAGTCCATGACCAGTCATGTTATACTGTACTTCACAAACCTGCAAGTCACTTTATTGTTTTACATAACGTTCTTTGCATGCCATACCTTCTAACATCACAGTGTTTTACTATGATGCATTATCCAACTTTATTTGGTTCACTTCAGACCCCTCAAATAAACCAAAAGAGAATCTTGTGAGTTGTCTGTTTGAAATGAGAGAAAGGTGACGATATGCTTATTTGTATTCTTCTGCCTTTTTGAACATTAAATGTGCCAGTGGAAAGTCAAACATTTCCATCACCTTTCACCCTCTCTCTCTCTCTCTCTCTCTCTCTCTCTCTCTCTCTCTCTCTCTCTCTCTCTCTCTCCCTCTCTCTCTCTCTCTCTCTCTCTCTCTCTTTCTCTCTCTCTCTCTCTCTCTCTCTCTCTCTCTCTCTCTCTCTCTCTCTCTCTCTCTCTCTCTCTCTCCCTCCCTCCTCCCTCTCTCTCTCCCTCCCTTTCTCCATTTCTCTTACTTTCTTGTCCTTGAGTAGGCTAAGTCTCAACGGAACAACATTATCTTTGTTTTGAAAGAAGAAGTGTGTATCTGCAGGAAACAGGCTTTATTCATATATATATATATATATATATATATATATATATATATTGTACTATAAAACTGCACTCTTTAAGAATAAAGTTCCCAAAAGAAGGTTTTTACAGTGGTGCTAGAGCAACTATTTTTTAATGTAAGTCAACACTCAAGGTTAAGCTACAGTGTCACAGCTTGCTATCTCCAAAGCTGTGTTTCATTTAAAATATCCAGCTAAATGTTTACATTGTGGTTTTCTTTGTGAAGTGTAGAAATTGTGGAATTGTTTTTAGTTGTTGTTGTTGAGAAAAATAGGTTATAGGCCTACTGCATTTTTTTTGCGTGACTATAGGCTAATGTTCACCATACAGACTTCAAATCGTGTGTGATAAATTGAGAGGAATCGATCAGGAAAGTATGAATGTAGTAAACATGAAAATTTAGACCAACTACATAGGGTGTAATTTTGATTAAAAGGATCTTCTTTCCTTCTCACAACCTCATGAAAATGAAACTGTATTCAACGAAACATGTGAAACACATGCCACCTAATGGTTTCAATTAGCAACTTCAATTGAGACAACACTGAAGAGAGAACGTGGAGCAACTAAGTTCTCTCTCCAGTGATTTCTTTCTGCTTCATTGTGATGACTGATTAGCAAAATCTGAGCCTTCCTGAACCTGCACGAGTCACTCACGAGCGTCATAAGTAAACTCTTCAGCTCAATGTCACCCAGTTCCAGCATAGCTTAAAGTTTACACCAACAGCTAGCTTACTGGGGGAAATATCAAACATCATCAGCTAACTGTTTGTGATTATTTGTTGTCAATGCTAATAAGCATTGTCCAAGAGAAGGGAGCATTACAGTACCACAAGTACAAAAATGACAGCCCACGATCCTAGGGCGTCATCTACTGACGCTAAAGGGCGCCTAAAGCGTCAGATATTGAAGCATGGTCAAATGCTTCCCAAGGCGTCAGTTAGGTGACGCCTTGGGGTGAGAATGTGTTGAAAATGAAGACTGGTTTTCCCAGACAAAGGTATTCTCCCAGCATTTTGTTATCTGTAACTTCAATGAACAGTGTTCCATCTATATGGACATAAAACAGCACTGAAATAAATTTCAGTACAGGGTCGAGATTAGTTGTATCGTGAGAGATTTGTAAATCATGTTAGCAATTTGAGTTTGATGTTGTGCTTTAAGACTATTTTAAGTCTGTATATGTTAATATTAGAAAGATACTTTTTAGGAATGTCCAAAGCAATTAGACAGGAATCCTTAAGACAGCTGATCCTAATTTGGACATTGGCGGTGTCATTTCTATGACAACAGATTATATTTAAAGTCACACAGACTTAAAAAAGTTCTAGTTATTAAATTTGTGATTCAAATGTAACAAGCGTGAGGACTGGGGATTAAAGAACATATTTAGAAACTCGTGAACATAATTTGTCACTGTATTTTTAGTAAGTCAGTGTTTGTTTGTTCTTTCGTTCCATCCTTCCTTCCTTGCTTAATTTATTTATTCATTCATGGAGAATTGAACTGAAATGTAATGGGGGAAAAAAAAAGTATATTATGCCTTATATAATTCTATTAACTGATTGTATGCTCCAGGGTTCCTGCCTCCATAAGGAATTCCAATTAAACGTTTGGCCATCTCTTTCCCTGTGCAAATGTTTTTTTTTAGAGCTCACAGCTCAAATCACTGTCACATGTCACAACAGGACATACAATGTCAGCTTAACTTGCACACAAATGTAGATGGACCATAGGAAGACCTGTGTGTAAGTGTGAGCTTTTTTTTTTTTTTTTTTTTAACAGTGGACAAGTGTCCGGTTACAGTACAGTACACTCGAATGCACAATGACTTTGTCACTAACTGAAAGCTGTTTTCCATCTTTATACTGAAAAGAGTGTATTTGCTCTTGTCTGCATCTGTGTTATGATCTCTCTCTCAGCATCAAATGTCATTAGCTGCGGCCTAATCAGTCTTCCACAGTCCCCTTGTGCCTATGCTGGGATATTTTTAGCTCTGAAACAACTGGTCTCCTAAAAAAGGGTTAGAGGAACGCTGCTATGTAAGGTATCCTGGCTGCTCGCTTCAATACTATTACCAGCACAATCCATCAGCCACTCTTTGTCTCAGGTCAGGAGAGAAGGCAGAGAGTCAAGGGTTTGCCGAAGAAAGCTGAATTTTGGCCTGGACGGTTTGCACTCTTATTATTTCTGTTAATAACTCTTCACTTATATTTCTCACACGTCTAGACCAAAGCTTTCTGAAAGCTAGTGAAGCTGCATGAAGAGCCATAGTTTCTTTTTTGGAAAAGACCATGAAGACCACCTGGATCCTGCTGCTTGCCTCTCTGGGTGTCTGTACCCTGGCTGGTGCTAAGAAAGGCCTTGAATTCCCACGTTATGATGGCAAAGACCGTGTCTTGGACATAGATGACAAGAACTACCGCAAATCCCTGAAGAAATACGACATGCTCTGCCTGTTCTACCACGCTCCCGCGCCAACTGCAAAAGATCTGCAGAAACAGTTACAAATGACTGAACTGGTGCTTGAGGTAAGAGAGGAAAAGTCAAGTGTGAATGCATGATGTAAGGTGTTAGACTGAATGGAAATCAGAGAGTGTTTATTGGAGCAAAGCAACATGGGATTGACTACAGACACAGCCTTCAACAACTGTGCAGTGGCTATTAAAATTAAGTACATTATATTTATTAATTTTTTTGTGGGGGAGGTTCTGGTATTTTTATTTCTGTGTAAAATGAATATGGGTGGTCATCATAAATTCAAATACATTTTTTGCATGCTGTATGTAGTAATATCAGTTTAGAGGCCCACAGACATATCTATCTTCGCATGGTTCTCTTTTTTTCCACTTATCTGGATTTAAATAAGTGGACATCTTTAGTCAGCATGTTAATCAAACACTTCATTTTCAGTACTCTTGATCGCCTTTTGAATGTGGACTTAAGAAACTGGCTTTTAGACTTGCGTCATAATTAAAGCAGAACACCAAGATATTTATGGAATCAGAACACTTCTAAAACGATTACATGAGTGTATTCTCCTTTACTCTACATGAGGTTCACTATCTAGACTATTGTGTCAGTGCATGGTACTCTTTGTACTTCTGATATTCACAGCAATATTACACAAGGTTTTTTAAACAAAAATCTGAAGCATGTTCACGTAATCTTGATGTTCACTCTAAATTACAATGCTTGAGAATAAACAGCTGCTTAACTCATGCCTTCCAACAATTCCTCCAGCATTTATTCCCATCATATTGGGTGAGAGTGTCTCACATTGGAGGGCAAACTGTGTGCACTCTCCAACACCTCTTGTTCTGAGTAAATAATTATTTTTGTTCGTCTCATCCCAAGACGTCATACAACTGACGCTTTTGACCATACATCAACATCCGCCCTTTTTAGGGTAAACGTCGGTTAAACGCCCTTAAACGTCGGTTAGATGATGTTATCTAATCCTAACCCTACCCCAGACCTAAACCTACCCCGTCACCTAACTGACGTTAAAGGTGTAGTGTCAGTTGTATGACGCCCTAGGATCGTGATCTAACCGACGTTTAAGGGTACCCTAAAACGGCGGATGTTGACGTATGGGCAAAAGCGTCAGTTTTATGACGTCTTGGGATGAGACTGTGTGTACTATGTGTCTTTGAACAATTTGACCGAATAGCATAATGCTATACTTTACTTTGAATTTCCTTTGGAGCCTGAACTAATACTAAATAAGACAAATAAAAGCATACTGTTATAGTACAAATAATTATGTTTTTCCACAGTTAGCTGCTCAAGTCTTAGAGGAAAAGGAAATTGGCTTTGGAATGGTTGACTCCCAAAAAGATGCTAAGGTTGCCAAGAAACTAGGTGAGGAAAAATAATCTATATAATATACTCTATACGTGTACCAGCGACCATGACAACGGTGTAACACTCTGCTCAAAGTAACACTACTTTCATACCTCTCATTTCACATGGTGAACATGATTTCACCAAGTGCAACATGTACCTGAAAAACATCTTTGTTGATCCTGAAACACCATTCCAATCAACAATCATATTTGAGGGTTTACTGTTTACGTCAAGTTTCGGCTTACAGCCAGGGTTAGGTGTTTCACCTATCATTTCCCACTGAGTTAAGGGATAAGTTATGGGTAGGGATTCCAGGACCAACAGCATCCAGTTCAGGAACATGTTATACTTGGCAAAATCACTGTGACCCATATAACACCGTGGACTTGCACTCTCTTGTTTTATGTAAATCTTTTATTGAGATACAGACATGATTATTATCATTATCCTCATTAAATATCACAGTTTATAGTTTAACACAACATCAATCCCTGCAGGATATTTGGATAAATGGATAATGATCAGTAGGCTATAAAGACTGTACAATGTACTTTACACTGCCATTTTGTGTTTCACTGGAAGGTTTGCATGAGGAGGGGAGCGTCTATGTGTTTAAGGAGGACCGTGTGATTGAATTTGATGGACTTCTCTCTGCAGACACTCTTGTGGAATTCATTCTGGACGTAAATAATCTGTGTTTATCATAAATCCAGACATCTTATTTGTTTTATCACTTTTCTATGTCTTTTTAACTCTCTGCCTCCCCTTCTCTCCCTCACGCTTCAGCTGTTGGAAGATCCGGTTGAGATAATTGACAATGCTCTGGAGTTGCGAGCTTTTGACCGTATGGAAGAAGATATCAAACTCATTGGCTTCTTCAAGAGTCTTGACTCTGAACGTGAGTATGTATGTGCAGACTATGAGAGGCAAGAAGTATCTGAATGATTAGAGACAAATATACCCATCAGCTACAGTTATCTGATCTCAAACACACACCTACATATACCAATGAATTAAAACCATGCAATAAACATTAACACATTCCAGTTTTATGCACATTGAAACCTTATGAGCTATCTTGAGCATTGTAGGCTATTGCTCTTTCAAGCTATAGATGACATTCATTTATTTCAAATCAGCACTTTGTTTGCGGACACTGTCAGTCAGCGCCCCCCACCCCCCCGTTATATTTTATCAAATAAAATAAATAAATCATCGACTTACCTCACCTCCCCATTTTCTTCTTTCTTTTTTCTCTGGTTTCCTCAGATTATCTTGCTTTCCAAGAAGCAGCTGAACAATTTCAGCCTTTTATCAAATTTTTTGCCACCTTTGAGAAATCTGTGAGTATCATGCTATTTTATGCTCTGTTTATGTTCAGAAGATCTGTATCATTGTATGATTATTTTCCTTTTGGGGAGGTGGTAATTCTCCGAAAACAATTGACCTTATGCACAGCTGCACTACTTCCTGAACTTAAAGCAACTCCTTGTTTCCTGTCTGCCATTATTGGCCGAACTTGATTAATTCAGGTGTGTCTGATTATTGTTGCCGTGACTACTGAGGTCAGGCACACCTGGATTAATCAATTTGTCCAATATTGACAGACAGGAAACAAGGAGCTGGCTTAAGTTCAGAAAGCATTGCGGCTGTGCATAAAGCTAATTGATGGTAGATGAGTTGCTCTTATTTTTGCATTGTAGGTGGCAAAAGAGCTGACTCTGAAGATGAATGAGGTGGACTTCTATGAGCCCTTCATGGAGGAACCAGTCACCATTCCAGACAAACCCCACTCAGAGGAAGAGCTGGTGGCCTTCATATCTGAACACAGGAGGTAATCAGGAAAGCTGATCTAATAATTTTCTGGATATACAGATATTTTATACTGATCTCATATTACAAAACAATGCTATCCTTTATTGACCTCCACAGACCAACTCTAAGAAAGCTCAGGGCAGAGGACATGTTTGAGACCTGGGTGAGCAATATTTTTTAAATGACAAATTGATAACACTTTAGATTGTGTACACATTCACTTACCAGTATATTAGTATTTATAAAACACATATTAATGCCTTATTCTTCATGATTCTAGATCCCTTAACCCATTCCTAAACATAACCACTACAACTCACAGTAAAACAAAAACAAAAAAAACGTTGTTTCAACTTAAAAAAGTGTTCGTGCTGCCTTAAGATTGTATGTTTATTCAACTCAAATACCCAAGTGGTCCCAACTTTGGTACAACTTTGGATTTCAAGTTGACTAAACTTAAAATTTGAAGGCAACACATAATCTACTTTAAGTTTTTTTTTTCGTGTCTCAATTCATGTCTCTCATATCTCTGCTTTCTCTCTCTTTTATACAAATACAATCTTGCAACATCTCGGTTATCGATTGTAAAAAAAAAAAATAACCCCAGATGACTTCACTCTTAATTTTACATTAAAATTGTTGGTCTGGTTATATTGTAATGGACTGTTTTTTTTTTCTTTTTTGGCAGACATTTTAAGAACTCAAATCAATATTTTATGTCCACAGTGCCAATATGTATTTATTTACTAAATGGTCATGCAATAAGTGGGATTTATAGCAAAAATTATGCCCCTACAGGGTGATCGCACCCAAATGCGAAGTGGAGAAATACATGTAAGCCAGTTATCATAAAGCAATGGCACTGAAATGGATGTTCTCTTATGCAGGAGGATGATTTAAATGGGATTCACATTGTAGCCTTTGCAGAAGAGGAGGACCCTGGTATGTGCAGTTTCAGGACACCTCCCTTAATTCGTCATAAAGCCAAATGATTTTTGTTTGGTGCAAGCATCATTGACTAAATGAATTAATGAGATAAGGACTTGAGCTTAACTTTGTTTTTGTTTTTTAGATGGTTTTGAATTCTTGGAGATTTTAAAGGAGGTGGCCAGAGACAACACACACAATCCAGACCTGAGTATTGTGTGGATCGACCCAGACAACTTCCCAATGGTGACTAAAATAAGTCTGGATAGATGCATGACTAAATTGAGTCAAATTCTTTTTTAAAACCCCCTTTATATGCACATTTCCTTTCTCAGCTCATTCCGTACTGGGAGAAGACCTTCAAGGTTGACCTCTTTAGACCACAGATTGGCATAGTAAATGTTACAGATGTAAGTGCAATACTTCAATTTTATTTAACCCGTTGAGTTCATTATGAAGGCCCTATTTCTCATGTCTGGATCTGTCCCACAAATGTATTATTATTATTATTATTATTATTATTAGAACAAATGTTTATTGCTGACACAAGTCCATTGACTCATGGTATCTACGACAGGCGGACAGTGTCTGGTTGGAGATACCTGATGATGATGAGCTACCATCACCTGAAGAACTGGAAAACTGGATAGAAGATGTCCTCTCTGGAACAGTCAACACCGAGGATGATGATGAGGAGGATGACGACGACGATGATGATGATGAAGACAATGATGACGACAATGGCGATGATGACGACGATAATGATGATGATGATGATGATGATGATGATGACGATGATGATGATGAATGATTTATATACTGTGAACCTCAAACAAATCTGCGGAGATAATTTTGTCCTTAACAGTAAAATCATTCTGTACATTTTGTACATCAGTGGATAAATTGCGGAGTGTTCTTCATGTTAATCTGAAATTATACAAGTGTACATGTCTCTTATTTATAGGTGAAATTTCTTTTAAGATCATTTAATTTAATCAGCTCTAAACTGGAAAGTAAAAAATGCATTCAAATGAAATACTGCAGTGTAATTGGAATTACAGGAATATGTCATATTATTCTTCTGAACAGATCTTCTACTGTAGAAAACATCGCCACCTAAAATGAAGTCTGTAATAAGATTTTATATTTTGGACATTTTTTATTGATTTTATTGTTTTTTATTGATTTTATTTTCAAAACTCATCGGAAGATGACGTTTGAATTCAAACCAAGCCAATCCGAGAAAGCTGCGGCAGTAAAAAAAAAAAAAAAAAAAAATACGCCATTATTTCACCACAGGGTGTCAGTGTTCGTCTACACCAGGGGTTCCACCTTTTGCAAGCTGCTCCGCCAAACCCCACCCCCCCCCCCCCCCCGCGCCCAAATCTGGTTCATTGCAGTTGCCAAACTCGCCACATTAATTAATACTATTATTAATATTATGAGCAGTATAGGCATAGGCTATTGCTAATTATATGAGATAGCATGCTTTAGTGTTGTTGTTGTTGTTGTTGTATTATAATTATTATTATCATCAGTTGGCCTATATCATTACTAGACTATTGCTATAATTTGGAATTGGCACCAGACCTCTGATATTGATGTATGCTTTGTTATTGTTATTACTAGGCCTATAGTAGCATCATCTGCATTTTTTACAGAAGCTTGCAGGTAGGTAATGGTGAGAACTGAGCCTTTGCCTTGCAAGATCCTCAATTCTTGGCCCAATGTTTGATAAACATATAGCCTCAAATAATTCTGAAATTAGCAGTAACAACTAAATGATTGATAACACCTATAATGATCAATAATTGATGTCTGGATAAAAATATAACTGTGTAACAGGTAGGACACAAACATAAATTTAATAAAGTTATCAAACAATCTGCACTGCATAAGTTATAAATTATATTTAGACTAATTTTTATTAAAGCTACAAGTTCAAAACCAGTTAGTAATTTTCTCTGTTCCATTTGTTCATTGATTAACTTTATTGACAGGACGCTTTATTGGCAGCTGGCCCTTTCTTTTTGATTCATTCAGAGGTGTGTGTTTGTCTAAAATGAGAAGTCATCCACCTCCGCAGTCTGCAGAGCCATCTTTATTATGGGGGTTCAGGGGGCGTGGCTATACATGTAAAGGTTTTTTTAAAGCGGAAAATTAATAATTTTCAAATGCATTAGTGTCTATAAACCACTATATATTTTATAATAACATTTTAATTATACATGTAGCCTACATTAATATGTTTTAAATAGAATTACAATTACTAGGCATTCAGTTACTTTTGAAAGGACAATAATAAATTGTCAGTGTATTTCATAAGACTTTAACTTTGCCAGCTATACATTTTTTTTAGCATTTCCTCACGTTGCACATGTTTTGCTTCATCGATGTTTTTATTAATTTGAAGAGTGTTTCAGAAAAAATATTGAGAAGAGAATCAAATTTTGAAGAGATTTCATTTCAAAATGACATTTTTGTAAAGATAAGATGAGAAAAATCAAATGTAGTACAATCAAAGTAGGCTACATGTGTCGCAGGATGGCTGCATATGATCTCACACATCCACAACACAAATATAGCTCCTTGTATTGATTGAACAGGGCAGATCGTTCCAGCAACGGTTAGCTGTAGGGTGGAAAAATGAAATAGGAAGTTATTCTGATCATTATTGTGTTAGAATAAAAAAAGTTAAATTTAAGGTGAAATCCATGAGTAATTTCATGTTACCGTATGATATGAAATTATAGTATTGTAAATTATAATTGAAAAAACAGTGCTTTCTCACAGGTCCAGTTGATCTCCAAACAGTTCTCGGAACCACTGAGATTGTTGGGTTCTATAGAGCACCAGTTGTTATAGCCAGTAAACACAGTTCCATCACTCCACAACCACTGTCCTTCCTAATGAGAGAAGAGAATGAATACAAAAGTGCACTACTGTCAGGTTTAAGAAGCTAATTAAGTTGTAATGATAAAATAAAAAACAATAATTTTAAATTTAAAAATTGTCATTAGAAACAATTCAACTTACTTGTACCATCATGACCACCAAGCCAACATAATGTAGAAGGAGAAGGCAACAAACTCATTAGGAAATCATTTCCCGGTTTACTATCCACAGATGCGAGATTCGCACCAAGAGCTTGACAGGCTTTCTGAAGAGACAGATTTTTTGTGAATACAAAATCCAATCTTTTTAGCAGAAATCATGAGACTTTTTAAAAACCATTTTAGTCATTTGCAAACAAAGTATGTATGCTCTGATTTATTATTTGCTCAGTAGGTTTCTGTTTTATTTACTTGCATAAAAGAACGTTTTACTAAAAAATAAAAATCACCATTCCCACTTTATAAGTTTAAATTAATAATTTGATTCAGTGCACTTATTGTGTACATACGTGTTTTTATATCTTAAAAAAAACGCATGCAGTTAATTCAGAATTCATTTCTGTAATTAGATTGTGTAACAACATTGACCCGTACCTTACACCTCAATCCACCCTTAAACCTAACCATATCAAACCCGTCCCTAACCTTCCCCATATCCCACCTCAATAGCAGCAAAAGTGCTTTACATCATGTGCTTTACATCATACATGTACAGTGTGCCATGTACTTTTTATTTATGTTAGATGTAGGCTAAAGACACCTAAAATAAAGTGTTGTCCAAATCACCTTGTAACTAATACATTACCTCTGCTGTGATCCAGTTAACCGTCTGAGAGAAGAACTTGTAGCACCGGAGTCCAAAATTTGTCCATCCAGTGGGGCATTTTTCAACTAAATGAACTGTGCATCCAGAAAATAAATGTTACAGTTCTTTTGTAATACTCACAGCAAAGAATGTATTTCAATTATTTGTTATTTTATGTAGCTTGGTTCATGTTTGTGTGATTATGTGCCAAAATTAAGTGTACTTTGACACTGTAAATCCCTCATTAATCATGCAAACATTAGTAAATGGAATATTGTACATTTCCAAAATCCTCTATTAGCTAATATTAATAATATACTAATTGTATAAGGGTTTTACAATGAAATTTTTAAGGTTGTAAAGGTTACCTTTTCTGCATTTCCCATGGAGAAGATAACGAAAAGAAGAATTAGACTTCTCAGCATTGCCATCATGAACCTGAAATGAACCTAAAAATGAAAAAGTAAAGTTAAATGTCTATACTCATATGCTGCACTGTGGGTTCTCAATGCATTTTAAAGACAAAGATACTTTAAAAATGTTATTCAGTAGATTTCTGTTCCAAAAACTCACCTTAAGATTTTAAAGTTTAGAATCTCAGAAGAAGTTTTTGTGAAGTTCCAAAAAATGAGCCCTGCTTTTATACTTTACCTAATGTCACATAATGTGTACTTAAAGTCACGAGAATGAAACAGGATGTGATTGTTTGATTTGTACAATTTTGTTCTCACAAAATCAATTTCAAATATTGAAGAATGAGATAAGCCTGTAGAAATTTAAATGTTAATTAGCTCAATATTTTTATTTTTAAAGTATTTTAAATATTTATAGTTGTTAAATAAAAGTCATAAGGGATATTTCCCACATTAAATATTTAAACATTTAAAATGACAAATATTAGTCATTTTATTTTGTATAAGCTTTAAAAACATCAATTTTTTTGTAAATGGAGCCCGTTTAAGATTTCCCAATGTGTGTTTCTAATTCATTCTATGAATTAATTTTATTCTGTCTTAATTATCTCTTTAGCTCCTTTTTTTGCCAGTTGTTTGATGTCAGTGTGTTTGTGGTTATTCTCCTGGTTATTTTTTTGATTCTTGGATTAAAGATTTATTTTGAGTATTTCCTTCATTGTACGCTTCATTAGAACCACGACCGTGACACCTATGAAAATATATAACATTAAACTCTCTTTCAAACACAATGGAATACAGCAACAGAAGTTGATCAGGACGAGATGTTCCGAGCACACAGTTACTGACGCCTTGGGAAGCATTTGGACATGCTTCAATATCTGACGCTTTAGGCGCCCTTTAGCGTCAGTTAGATGACGCCCTAGGATCGCGTGTACCCTACCCCCACACCTAAACCTAACCGCGTCCTCTAACTGACGCTTTCCTTTAGCGTCAGTTAGATGACGCCGTAGGATCGCGTCATGTAAGTGACGCTAAAGGGCGCCTAAAACGTCAAATATTGAAGCATGGTCAAAGGTAACGCCTTGGGGTGAGAATGCGTGAGCACAACAACAGGATGCTTGTTTGTGGTTGCAGCCATGGTTAGGGCTACAGTAGGTTACTTTGTCACTGGAACCATATGAAGAGTTCAGATGCAAAAGCCTCTAAGTGCCATTTGAAATTTTCTTCTAAAATGATCATTTTTATCAAGCTTGTATATTTAAGTTCAGTAATTTCACTTAAATGGTAATGGAGATTACCTAGTAATTGTCATTTAAGTGAAATTACTGAACTTAAATATACAAGCTTGATAAAAATTGTCATTTTAGAAGAAAATTTCAAATGGCATTTAGAGGCTTTTGCATCTGAACTCTTCATATTTAACCTGCAATATACCGTTTGATGATCTAACGAGTCCGCCAGTGTTTGTTGGGTGCGTCAGTTCCCTAGTTCAGTAGTCAGGGCACTGATCAGGGAGTCGATGGCAAAATCCTTCCAGTGCACTGAAACTTTCGCTCCTTGAAAAGTCCTACAGTGAACCGTGAAAAACAAGAGCATCAATGGCTGCATCTAGCCTGGCTAACGTCAGACCCAAGTCTCAAAATTGAGATCTGGGTCTGGGAACCACTTTATTTTCTCGTATTTGAGGCGTGGATTATGAATGCCCAGAGCCGTTTATTGGGTGCTGAGATTGTCTATCAAATGCACCTGTATGTAGCTCACAGCCAAACGTTTCAATTAAACCAGATGATGTATGTAGAGTGACAGATATTAGACAAGGAAGAAGACGACGGGTCAGAGATTTATGTGTACACGATGGTGTACTCAAGGGGGTAATCCATCAGCCAGAAATTGAAACATTCTATTGACTGCCATTCATTTTGGCGTCACTTTGACAGGGGGAAGTTTAACTCCTTCTCATGTAAAACTCACTCTCACTGTCTCTGTGAGATTCGGAAGGGAATTATTCAGATTTCACTCGGAACAGCTACTAGAAGACATACAGGTTGCTCACATGACTGGCTCAGTTTGAGCCTACGCCTGGTGATCAGCTTTTAACTGTCTTAAATTTTCTCAGTTGAAATCAATGGGGTCGCTGTGTCCATTTCTTTTACTGTCTATGTGTCGACCTCCATTAGCCAGCAGCACAGACGAGACAATGCGCCGCTCTACCCCACGGGTCTCTTCAGCCCAGCGGTGAACGGGATCGTCAACTGCTTCACCGAAATACAGAAGACCACGCAGGCCACGAACTTGTTCCTGCCGCAATGCTCTAGTTCCGCTGCAGGCCGCTCACATCCCGTCTGCCGATCCAGAGACTATTCACGTCACGTCTGCCGATCCAGAGACTATTCACGTCACGTCTGCCGATCCAGAGACTATTCACGTCACGTCTGCCGATCCAGAGACTATTCACATCACTTCTGCCGATCCAGAGCCTGTTCACGTCACTTCTGCCCAGTCAGAGACTGATCACGTCACTTCCTTCGAGCCAGTGCCTACAGACAAGAGCTAGTGTCTACAGACTAAAGCCAGTGTCTACAGGCCCTTCTTTGCATGGCCCATTTTATTTAATGCTTACGGGGGTCATAAAAATTCTTACTGGGGGTTTCCTTGGCCAGAGTAGACTAGCGGGAGCCATCTTTATGGTTCTGGAGTGTTGATTCTTGGTCTGGGGTGTTGAATTCTGTTTGAATGACTCATATGGAAGATTCTGTTTTGTTTGGTTCACCCTCAAACCCTACATGATTAAGCTCTTCTGGTTGAGCCGCACTATAATGAGCCGTTATGGCGCATCGGCTTTGCTGCTCTGCATTTCCCTTGGGGTACTTATCAGTGTTGTGTACTCGAGAGTCGAACTCGGTCTCGGACTTGGTCTTGAGACCACATTTTAATGGACTCGGTCTTGTCATGGACTCGTGTGCATTTTGACTCATACTCGAACATATTGGGACTCAGACTTATTCCTGAGTCCACTTGAGTCCCATTCAAAATAGGGGAGAGCGGGGCACAACGCATTTTGGTTTTGGCTCAATTAATTAAAAAGTAATTAGGTTAGATGAATATTTTTTTACACAAGCAACATACACATCTCTGCTACAAATGAACACTTAAAGTTTTTTTCTAGGATACCATTTTCGTACAGTTGCACTGAAAGTGACAGAAGTGCAAATGTTACAACTTACCCCATATGCGGGGTTAATTGTAACAGACAGAGGGGTTAGTTGTAACACTTGTGTGTAACACACATAATTCAGTACTATTTTATTTGTATAGTTTGATATTGTTTGTGTATCTGTATAGACAGATATCCATACATCCATCCCTCGTCCAATCATCCTTTTGTTATGGATCAATATCATGGATAGAGACATAGAAAAGGGCTGCAAAGTTTTGCAATAAA